CCTGCCACGCCAACCCTCACACGTGGGAAATTGGCACTTGGGCTTAGCTCTAACCCAAACATTGTAATCCGGCGCTCAGCACAGAGCAAGGCGCTAATCGTTCACTCGCTGGTGCCAAAAATAAATCCCCAACGCAAACAAAAACGAAGAGTGAGGGCACTACAGGTACTTGGGCTGGATGCTCCAGACCAAGGACCCCCGGGCTCTGTCCCCACCCAAATCCCACCGTGATCCACTTCCACAAGAGCTGGGATTTTTGCAGCAACAGCAGCAGTGACCTGACCGGTAGTTCGGGTGACTTTGCAGCAGGACAGCAAAGGACCAAGCCTCTCCTCAGACACAAAGCAGCACGCTCAGGCCAAGGAGACCTCACCCAAAGGGAGAGGGTTGGGGAGCAGCTGCAGTTCACAAACCTGTTCACCCTCGGCGCGGTTTGGGTGAGGCCGAGAAGCAAGAGCCCAGCAGGACCCTTTGCGGTAGGTGCGTCCCCCCGAACCGCTGCGTGATCAGCTCCTGCAGCACCGAGTCGCTCCACACCAAACCCTCCGAGCGCCGGGGCCAAAGGCATGGCCAGGGCAGCTCCTGGGAAGAAGAGGGACTTGAGCAGCGACCCAGGTTTCTGAGCCAGGCTGGACAGGCAGCTGCAGCCCACAGCTCTGCCCAGCACTGGGGAGCAGTGGAGGGAGGAACAGGCAAAGCAGCGTGATCAGCTCCTGCAGCACCGAGTCGCTCCACACCAAACCCTCCGAGCGCCGGGGCCAAAGGCATGGCCAGGGCAGCTCCTGGGAAGAAGAGGGACTTGAGCAGCGACCCAGGTTTCTGAGCCAGGCTGGACAGGCAGCTGCAGCCCACAGCGCTGCCCAGCACTGGGGAGCAGTGGAGGGAGGAACAGGCAAAGCAGCCACCGAGAGCTGCTGCTGCTCCAGCCTCAGCCCCGGGAAAGCTCAGAGCACACAGGCTGCTGCTAGCAGGATCCTTGTCTGCTTCCTACTCTATTCTGTCCTTCATCTTGGAGTTCCCTATCACGCACTGACGGCGCCCACCGTGCATTCCTCCCACCCGGTTCAGAAAGGGCTGTCTGGCAGACAAACCTAACTCCAGCTGCTCTTACTCTTGAAAACAGCAATCCTGTTCTGAAGAAAAAGAGGAGCAGCCATACACCATCAAGATCACATCAAATCACACCTTTAAGCGAGCAAACTCCCAGTTTACATCCCCAGCTGCACACCACAGGGTATCTGCTCGTAGCTCTAACGGGGCGGCTGACGAGCCATGCAGGAGCACAGACCCCTCTCAGCGGATGCTGAGAACCAGAACCCAAGAACCAGCTCTGCTCGCTGCCACTGTAGCTGGACAAGGACTTCCCACACCTAAATCCCAGGGATCGCAGCCCTTCTCTGCCAGGCACATGCGACACAGGCTGCCAGGCGAACCCACAGCCAGCTCCAGACAGCCCAGCCACAAAGCCCCAGAGAACTCGCTGCCGGTGCTCGCCTGGGACGCTGTCTGGCTGAAGCAGCTCGGAGCAGACAGCAATGATGTTCTCCAGTAACACAACAGCTTCAGTTTAAAATACCCCCGATTCCTTATTTTAAAGGACACGGCGACTGATTTAGGAGCTCCCAGGATAGACTATTACTATTCCACATGCCACTTCTCATTTCTCTCTTAAAACCACCTGGTTTGTCTCATGCTAACCATTTCTTGTATGTCCCCTTAGTCCCTCAAGACCTTCCCGTTGTCACTTGACCCCTCCGCACGCGTTGCCCAAGACACAGGTGTACCACCGACAGCGGGGCTGAGGGCCACCAGGTACATCTCATCCCTATTTTAATTGATGCAATGGCCAGGGCATGGCTAGCTCAGCCTGTAATTAAAATTCCAGTGCCAAGCCCAAAGACACAGCATTCCATAGGAAAAGTCGATTGAAGGCAATAACCTTGGCCATTCTGCTGGAGCTTCCTGTCCGAGGGCAATCATACAGCCTACTTGCCAATTAATTCATGGAAAGAGAGCAGACACTTTAAAGCAAACAGTGCAGCTTAATGACAGAACAGAGCAGTAAGGAAGCAGTTTCTAAGCACCACAAAGCAGTGCTCTGCATCGTGCGCTGGCTGTTTCAGGAACAACGAACCCCTGCCGGTTCCAGGGGAATCGGTTTGTTCTGTTTGTCCCATCAGACACTTCACTGGAGAGCAGCTCTGCGGAGAGGGACTGGGAGTGCTGGGGGACGACAGGGTGACCATGAGCCAGCAGTGTGCCCTGGCTGCCAAGAAGGCCAATGGGCTCCTGGGGTGCATTAGGAGGAGTGCGGCCAGAAGGTCAAGGGAGATTCTCCTTCTCCTCTACTCTGCCCCAGTGAGGCCTCATCTGGAGTACTGTGTCCAGTGCTGGGCTCCCCAGTTCAAGAAAGATGAGGAGCTACTGGAGAGAGTCCAGCAGCGGACTGCGAGGATGATGAGGGTCTGAAGCATCTCTCCTATGAGGAAAGGCTGAGGGAGCTGGGCTTGTTCAGCCTGAAGAAGAGAAGGCTGAGAGGAGACCTAATAAATGCTTATAAATATCTGCAGGGTGGGTGTCAGGAGGATGGGGCCAGACTCTGTTCAGTGGTGCCCAGCAACAGGACAAGGGGCAATGGGCACAAACTGAAGCAGAGGAAGCTCCAGCTGAACACAGGGAAGGACTTCCTTACTGTGAGGGTGATGGAGCCCTGGAACAGGATGCCCGGAAGGGTTGTAGTCTCCTTCTCTGGAGATATTCAAGACCCACCTGGACAAGGTCCTGTGCAGCCTGCTCTAGATGACCCTGCTTCAGCAGGGGGTTGGACTGGGTGATCCCCAGAGGTCCCTTCCAACCCCACCATGCTGCGATTCACTTGCCTGCACTGTTCCCATGTAACTGCTGCTGCCTAAGCCTCACCTTCACCATCCCAAGCTCCACTACAAGGCTGAGCCTCCATAAACTTTGTGTCTCTGACTTCCATCATACAGGTGACTTGAATAACAGTATTACTTCCTGCCCCCTTTTTTCCATTTTTTCCTAGTGCCTCATCAGTGCTTCCCACATTATTTAAGTCACAACACAGCTTACAAACCCACTCTACTCACTTTTCATTAACATTGCATCTAAACAAGCAAGCCAAGTTACCTCTGCATGCTGTTATCTGAGCCTTCGGGCAGATCCTCCTCCAGAACTAAGTGGCCATTCTCCAGGGGTGAAGTAGCCCCAGGTGATGGTGTGACCTTGATCCCTGAATGCTTCGGAGGCAAAGAGCGCTTGGTGTTCTCAATGCTCAACATGAACTACACGCCTCAGAAGTCAGGAATAAAACTTTATTGTTTTCAGATTTCTTATCTGTGTTCAACTAAGCAGTTATCTGTCAAAAGATGTTTGACATAAAGAGGTCACTTGCTCTCAGCTTTTCTAACAATAACCAATTAGCAAGTAGCCACAGTACAAGTTTCCCTGGAATTAATCCAGGAACCACATAAGATTTGTGGTAGGAAAGCAGAAAGGAGTTTGGTTTGCAAACCAAACAGGAGAACAGTTCTCAGACTGATTCGATATAAAAGCTGAAAAGGAGAGAGAAGCTCAGATGAACGTACACAGAAAGAGTGACCATGAAGCACATCAACCGATGCCTGCGCCGGTTACGCCTGACCTTTCCCTGTCTAAAAGGAAACAGGCTTTACGGGGAAGAGAAATCTGCTGTTTAGGACTGTGTTTTCTAGAAATCGTCACCTGATCAATAAATAATGTTCAATGTTTCCTTCAGCTCTACACTTCCCCTTTCTCTTTGAAAATCCCCCTGGCATCCAGAGGCAAATGGAATTACCAGAAATTCCCATTTTGTTTCCATGTTGCAAAAGCTAAACACAAACAAGGAGTTCTTCCTCCTTTTCTTACCTCTTTCTGAGCACAGAGTCCTCTTGAAAGCTGCCCCGCACTTTGAGAACTCACAAATCAGATCAACTTGGAACAAAGAAGCAAACACTCATATTAAAATAATGGGAATTGTTAATTCCCCCCATTCATCTGCACCTTGCATGGAAAATTCCCACAGCAACAACAATCCAATAATTTAGAACAGCTCTTCTGTTTCCACCCCATTAACTCCAACGCCGAAAAATGGGAGAAACAGCACAAAGTCAAGACAACCAGTGCACAAGAGTTAAGGCAGCCAGACCAACCTGCTGTTCCAGCTTCCAGCTACAGACTGAGTGAAAACCCAAACATGGCTGGTGGAAACTTCCGAACGCTTTATTCAGGAACAGTTCTGCCCATGTGCTGTGGGTTTTTCCCCGTTCAGATGATCATGATTATGAAATTACCCACATGTTGGAAGTGCCTACGACCATCTGGGCGCTTCATAGAAAGAGCTGTCCAGCATGACAGAGGAGAATCTGTCAGTCGGGAACCTACTGTCTCCCGTCGCTTATTCCTCATTTCAGGTGCATCTGCTGATGGCGGATGAGGAAAAAGCAACAGATGAACTCCAGAAAATCCCCTTGTTTTCAGGCAAGGTTTAGATCAGAGACAAAATGAACATGGAGAGACCCAACTTCCCATGAAGAGCAAGCAGCTACTTCTAAAGCCACCTGTGAAGCTAGTTTCCCAGGAAAAGCCTTGCAGGAATAGGTTCTATACTGTATTCAGGGATTGAACAAAACATGTATCAATAAAGAAGGATCCTGTCGGCCCAGAGTACAAAATCAGGTTATACTCCACCACAACTGGGGTAACCAGTAACATTTGGAAAGGTATTTGCGATCCTTATCAACAGAGGCTCTGTTCTGTTATTCTGGATGTTACATTTTAAAAATACAGAGACTTCTGGGAGTCAAAAGGGAAGGAGTAGTTAGCCCTCTTGGCTACTGTTTCATAGCTTTCTTGTAGGCAGCCTCATCTTCCCGGTTCAGTTCTGCATCAACTTTTGCCTCTGTTTCCCCATCACACCCAGACTTCTAGACCAAAATGCCAAATTATAGTGTCAAACAGCGGGGTGGGGGGAGGAATCACGTTATGCCTATGCCCTGGTCCATGGTAAGTAGATGTGTACCAGCCCTGAACAGGCCACTGGTCACAAAGCAAGCTCCAACTTCTCCAAGCGGAATGAAATTTCTCTGTGCTCCAGACTATTTTCAGCTACTTACAGTGTACATATGTTTCTGAACAGACTGTTTGTCTTTAATACACTGGGAAAGAATGTAAGTGCACAGACACATACACAGAACACAGGGAAGAAGATGGTAAAACCTCCCTCTGTTGGTTTCGATATTTGTGTCCTAGAAACTCTTGGAGCTTTTCCTTCAATACAGAATAAAATCTCTGTTCCTTAGGCGGTCCTGGTTAACTTTTGAATCCAAAGATGCCCTTTATGTATCCCGTGAGGCCACTCTTGGCCTTCTGCTCCACCTTATCCTCCAGAGGTGGGAAAGCAACATGATTCAGGGCCAGGTCAAAGAACAAGGGCTTGCATGGAATGGGCTGGAAGCCTGGAGGGAAGTGCACGAGGCTGACTTGCTTGCTGACAAGAGAAGGATCCAGACAGAAAGTTTCAAACCGTTCTGAGAGTGGCTGAAAGAGACCAATATAGAAACGCTAATTAAATACACGTCAAACCAAAGCTGACAATGGTCAAACAAGCACAGAGGATTGAGCAGCAACTGAGACAACAGAAACTGAAGTTCCCTCGTGTGACATCTTGGGCCCTTGAAAATGACTCGAAGCCCTGTCAAAGCATCACTGCAGGATCTCTGGGAAACCTTCCCTAGTGCAGGGAGAAAGCTAAATTTAATAAAATGAAGATGACGCCCTAGAAGCGGCAAGCAGCAGCCTACTGTCTACCCAAGGAACCCCACCCTGTCAGCCACCTTCAGGACTTGCAGAAGGAAAACAAACCTAATAAAATCTCTTAAATACACTAGTTGTGACCAAACTCCAACCAGCATGACATTTCTTGAGTTGTAAGAGACACTTGGCTAAGAGGTTAAAAGTAATATTCACTAAGAACACTACTGGAATTTGCCTGAGTTCCCAGCTCTTACCTTGCCATCCTTGACCTGAGATGGAGACTCAGTCTCATGAGTATCATTTGCATCTGCAAATTTGAAGAAAAAGTGGTAAGAATAAGAGGCTAGATCTTTGTGTAAATTCAGACTGTCTCAGGAGTCAGCTGCCCTCTAAGCTTAGCTATGAACTTTGCTTTCTGGGATATGCAAGACAATATTTTCAGCAGAAGCAGCTAGCTTTCTGGACTAAAAGGATCATCTATATTTCTACAGCCATCACAACTTTCTGGTGATGGAAAGCTTCTCCTTCACACTGCTCTGAGAAGCTCCTGAAAGAAGCAGAGATTTTGAGTTATGCACAAAGCAGCAGATGAGGAGAAGACTCCAGTGGGGTCTGTTCAAGCAATGTTAAGGCAATAAAAGACAAGGCAATCCATTACTTATCTCGGGTTTCCAGCAGCAGGCACAGCAAAAACAGCAGCCCAAGAAATCACAAAGTCCACCCATCCCCCATTCAAGCCCCGCCTGGACAAGGTCCTCTACAACCTACTGTAGGTGACCCTGCTTCGGCAGGAGGGTTGGACTGGATGACCCACAGAGGTCCCTTCCAACCCCTACCTTTCTGTGATTCTGTGACACTGACAAAGAGCAGAACATCACTGCTCCCCTCTTTTTCAGTAGTTCTCCCAACTAGGCAAAATGGGGATGAATAAGGCAAATTTGTTTGCAGCAAAAAACATTAAACACTAAACAGAGTGTTCTATGCAGGTTACCAAAATAGGTGCACATCCTCATGAAGCATTTTTGCAGGGCAGGGAGCAAGATGCCAAATGTCTAGACATTGGTTGCCTAGACACACTACACACAGCTACAAAAAGCTAGAGTGGGGTAGGGGGGGAAGTTTTCCAGAGTCTACAGAGATCAGAGTGAAGCAGAAAAACATTTGGAACTTCAGAAATGAAATAAAAGGACTTAAACAGGTGCAGGGGCATTATTCAAGAGAGATTAGAGCTCTAGCGTAATTGTGCAACTCACCTAATATAGCTGCTGCTTGCAAGGAGTATTTCTCTGCATTGACTTGAGTGATCAGATCCTGAACATCAGGCAGCTCCTAGGTAATTAAAGAAAATTATTTGAGAGCCTGAAAAGTGCCAGAGTTTAAGAGTTATGGCAAAGGTAAAACCTGACACAGTAAGAACTAAGAAATTAAGTCCTAGTGCTGATAAGCCTTCTCAGAAGAGAAAAAGCTACAGTACAGTCCTTCAGGCACTACAGAAGTAGTATGACAGAAAGTGCAGATGTGAGAAAGTGTGGGAAATTGTTATGGAGTTGTTACAGTAAGTTACAACTGGCAAGTAAGCGGCCAGTTGATATCACATCACCAGAAAGTCTCTACTATAACATGTCAAGCAGTCACACTTGTATTACTATTCTCCCTACTTAAAGATCAGACTTGCTCTGTAATAGTCTGGCATCTAATTGACAATAAATACTGGGACAGAGCCTTTTCATAAATTTCAACTTCCTTCTACACACAGGATCGGGTTCCTACCTTCAAGCTGTTTGTATAGGCTCCAGCTCCCGACTGAACTTCACGGGCATATTTCAGCACTCTTTCATATAAAACAAGAGCTTCACTCCATTTCTTTACCAGGACATAGGACTGTGCAATGAAAAAACACCTGCAACAGTAAAGAGCAGCTCATTGCCATATGTGTCCTCCACACCTTTTGCCAACTCAAATGACTGATAAGAGGAGATATTATGAAGAAGCACTGGCCAGTTTTCCCCTAGCATCCAGGCCTCATTTCACAAGAGGGCAGAGATAACTGCATCAAAGTCCTGTACAGCACTCTGAAATAATAACCTTTGAGAATGTAACGCCTGCTAAAGAAAACCTGGCTGTTTCTCAGTCACCTGTAAGCTTTGTACACGAGTGTCTTCAATCCAATCTCTTTTTGGAAGTTCTTGTCCTCTTCTAGGCCAGGAAGCTGTGTCAGTTCCACGAGGTTCTGCGCAAAAGAGAGTCGGAGGAACAAATTCAGGCGTTGTTTTCCTCTGGAATTTGCTGGAGTAAGAGAAAGCTGCCCCTTTTAACAAGTCAACAGCACACTCCCATGGAAATAGTTTCCAGTTTTCTAATTATGCTAACCTTGTGAAGGCCACGCATTGAAAGTTGTGCAAGTTTGCCCTCAGGACAGATTTCCTGACACGAACAGGAATTAGGACAAAGACTCCTCAGATTTCATATGTTTGATAAGGCATTTCCCTTTATTTCCCATTCACAGCTGCTTCAGCCATAGGCTCCCACAGTTAACTGAAAATTTATGTGAGAAACTCAGAAACTGCTGATGAAGAACAAGTAGATTTTAAGTATTTTTAGCTACTTTCTCTGGCCAGCAGAAACCAAGGCAGCTATCAGAGTGCTGCATAAAACAGTCATAAAAACTATTTTACAACTGTATTAGAGTGTACAGCCGAGGCCACCCATTCTAGCAGCATTTTCTGTTCACAACTAGAAAGGTTTTTTGTGTTTCATGCAGATGTTCAACATCTTCAACAAAGCAGCTGTAGGTACTCAGTTGCTCTTCAGACTTCACAGGCACTTCACTTGCCCTGCTTTATTTTTTACAATATCTTTCTGTACCAAAGTTCTCCAGTTAGTATGAAGAGTTAGATTTGTTTTCCCAGTATCACCTGCAAAATTATATCATAAAGACGGATCAGGTCCTGAGGCCGCGGTGTGCGCTTGCCATCCTCTTCTGACCGCTGCTGCTGCAGCAGTGCCTTCTGCAGAGACTTTGCCATGCTCTCATTGCGCTTGATGGCTGTCGACAGCTTGATGTAAGTCAAATAACTAAAAAGATAAAAGATAAAAGATAAAATACCATTAGCAGACTGCCAGAACTACTCAGGCATTACTCTTTGTTCTGAAAAAACTCCTCCCCCCAGTCTAAGCTGATACTAGTAGGGGAAAAAACATCTGAAAGGTCAACACGAGAGTCTTAAGTAAAATGTTCTCAAAGCTGCATGAATCACATCCTTATCCGTACAATCACCATTTGAGATCTGAGAGGCCCAGAACAAAAACTCCATAAACCAAAACCAAACAAAAATAAAATCTTGACATAAGAGCATGACTTCTTCACGCTAGTACAGGCAGCAATGTTTGCCTATTACCTGTGTAAGTACTGGATATTGGACACCTTCCCAGAATCATTCTCCAGAGAGTGTTCCCGCTGCTTCTGCAGAAATTGGGGGCAAAACACCATATGATTTACTTAGAACTGGCAGCCGAGGGAAGAAAACATCAGAAACAACTCTAGGTTTGGGTAAACCAGGGACGTTATAACAGACTTCCAGGCAAAAGAATGAGGGCTTCTACATTGCTATTCATCCTCTCCAGTTCTGAAGAGAATAAAGCCAATGGTGGTAAGACTCTTTTGCAGCTTTTTATTAAAAAGAAATCCAAGCCATTTTTACTGTTGAGGAAGTTTAACAATAACAAATCAGTCTCAAAGAAACGCTATGTTGTTGAAAGTAGAAACACTCATGTTTGCAGCTTACCTGGTCTGGTTTCAGATCTTCGCGAACAGCCTGAATGGCATCTCTACACTCACTGAGCAAAGATTCAAACAAACGCTCCTTTGTCTCCTCATTTTCTGCCTAAAAGCAAAGTTAAGACAGACATCTATTAGAAATTTTTGTATCTTGCATCCCATGATGCAAGAATTAACCGAGGAGATTAAACAAAATTTCTCCCAAACTATGACTTTAAGATCCACGGGTAACTAGAACTCCAAGCCGTATCTGTCTGCACTCTGTTCTAGGGAGCAAACTGCCAGGAATTGCAGGGAATGTGGTCAGGGCTGAGAATTTCGCAGCCCTGGAGGCCTAGCACACACAGCTCTGATCGCCTCATCCCTGCAACAGCGACCTTCCCAGCAACTCCCTTCCCTTCCAGGATGGCATCCACACTGCTCCGAGAACAGCTGAGGTTGGACTGCACTGTGGGAAAGGCCCAGCAACAGAAGTGCTGATCTGAAATGGCAAACTACCAACGCAGACTGCTCTTGTTATGCTGATTTAACTTTTCTCATGTGGTAAGAGCACGTAGATGATTATCTTTTCTACACTCCCACTCTAGTAATGCTCACAGTGGCAATAATTGGCTTGTTTGCAGCATATTTTAAACTAACCCTGTATTTTAGTAGCAGGAGTGACCAAGTGCTTTTCTGCTGTCACCACAAGTTTTGTCAAAAAATGAAGCAGCTTTTGGCCTCCCACCCCAAAACCAAAATTTGAGAACAACTTTTAAAAAACAAGTTGAAGCCTGATCTCCACCTAATGGACTGGCATACCATGCACCCAGTTAAACAATGCACCCAAAACCAAACTCAACTTCCATTCAGGTGACTGAGAAGGTAACCAGATGGGGATCACAAGACTCTTGCTGATTCAGTAAGAGAAAACTGCCCAGAAACAAACCTCAACCTTAGCAACCAACGGAGGGATTGAAGTGTATCAGCAGTGCTATACCACTTCCATGTCATGTAATAGCATAAGATGAATTTGCTGCAAGAAATCTGCAATTGTCCAAACGAATAAAAAACTGTCTAAAAACATGCTCACTCGTTTATCTTCCATAGAGCTCTACAGTCTCTGCCTCTCCTGTTCTCAGGTTTGCAAACCCATTAAGGAATGTTATTTTTACTCCCTCACAAAGCTTCAGGCATCTTGACCTGAGATGAAGGCAGTTTTTTTATTTTGTTTTCTTTTTTTTTTTCCCTTTAAAGATTTGCTGCAAGAATTTTTAAGGCGGGACTAACTACTGAGAATAACCTGAGACAAGTCTGACAGCATTCTCAACCTCACCCAAAGGAGCACAGCAATTTCACTGTATGCAAGAAAATGAAAACAGACATAGCTAGATCATCAGTCAAGCACAAACAGGGAAAGGGCTGGGCCGTGCAGTGAAACAAAGGCTTTCCTTTCTAAGCAAAAACTCCTCAGGTTAAGCTGATTCTATGCACAAACACACATGTGTTCTGATTTGGGAGATACCTGATCACAAAACTGCAATACAAGTTCTACAGCTGGTGATTCGAGTGTCCTGACAGAAGAGTGTAAGTTCATCTCACAGGGGTCAAGAGAACCGATCCAACCGAAACCACTTCTGAAAGTCTAGGTGTGCTCACTGCTAAATTTTTCGTTGTTCCAAAACATTGTGTATCATCTCTGAAAGTTATTACCACCCATTTTTGCTACAGTCCTAGCTACCAGAGATGACCACAGAATCCTTGAGGCAATACCAAATAGGAGCACACCTCCGTCACTCTGCCCTTTAGCCTTCTCACTTCTGCCTAGTTAGAGTCAACGGGCCCTTGAAGTCATGCATTCAAGTCTACAAAAGGGTTGACACAAGTAATTTTAAACTTGGATTTGTGTTTCAGTTTGGCTTATTTGTTCTGTTTCTCCCGTTACCAGTAAGACACTGAAGGCAATGCTACAATTGCACTGAGCATCTCCATTTTTACACTAGACACACATCTGTGTTTGCTTCTAATCAAACCCTGAAGAGCACAGCTGTTGTTTTAGGGTTCAACTTAGTGAAGACCAGGAGGCAGATGCCAAAGATCCCGGGAACCACAACGCATTTAGCTCTGAAGAGCACAGCTGTTGTTTTAGGGTTCAACTTAGTGAAGACCAGGAGGCAGGTGCCAAAGATCCCAGGAACCACAACACATTTAGCTGAAGCTTGGACTGCCCATCGCAGCTGACACAGCAACTGCAGAACTGCTTTCAAAAGGCCAAGTTTTAGCTCTCTGGGAACGTAAATACTGCTGCCGCGCGCTGAGCTCTCACCAGTGCTAGTTGTGATCCAGTATCACAAAACTCCTGTTTAGTCAGAGCTTCCAAGGAAGATAAAGCAAGATGAAAATGAATTCGGATAACTGCTCTGCCACAGCTTTATGGAACAAAGGAGGCAACTAAACCGAAAAGCTCCAACTGTTAGCCTGGCAGAATGGCAATTAAATGAGGGAACATGGAACTCTAAGCTGCACTTCCACCTGCCGGCCACACTAATGCACAACCTAGAAAAAAAATAAAACTCCACAACATGTAATTCATAACATTATGACAAGAGTGGTTAACGCCAACGTTTCCTACCCAGCCATATCCTGTTTATCCTGCTCACACTATCTTCTTAACACCATCTCCTGCTCTTGCCCGCTTGCCTTATACCTTTGCGGGGTTTTCACTCACATCACTTAAATTGCTATTTCACATCATTTAGTTGCTATTTATCCTTACCATTCTCCTGGTAATAAATGCTTTTTGATGCTGCGAAAAGGCCATTGGTAGTGGCACCATTTGTTACTAAAGATCCTTTCACTGACTTTTCAAACAGCAAGGGTGTTGTACGCTGGGAAGCAGAATACACCATCTGGGCACCATTTCCAAGGAAAAAGCTCCATGTGGAAAACTTGCCTGCAATACTGAAGACGTGCATAGTGCGTGCCACCGCAAACATTTCAGAAGTGCTACATTTGAAATTAATTTACATTCTGGCATTTAGTAATCCTCTTCTGCTTTTGAGGATTTGCATAAGTCAAGAAGTGAATGCTATAAATCTCCTAGCACCTGCTTCGCCTGGCAAATTGCTTTTTGCTGCTGAAAAAGGTGATCGATACATATCTTTTTTCTTTTGGTTGCTCTCAATTTGGGAGCATTTGACCAAGATACTTAAAGAAACAAGAACAGCAATTCAAAACTAATTACTGTTAAAATTGTAACCTTCACTTCCAAGTGAATTCCACAAATCATAATGGTTATCACCCTGCTACTGAAAAGCAGCACTTCTGGGCAGAACAGAGTGTTCAGAAGAGCAGTAACAATCAGAACAGACCTCCCAAACTACCACTTAGATTGTGGAAGCTAACTGCCCCAACTGACACTTCAACTCTGGGTTACAGCCAATATTCCCACTCCTACTTTTAGCCTTCCAACCCCAAATTTGAGAAGAAAAAATTATTTAAAAGCTTTTAGTCCAGGTATCATGTATTATGTTGCACACTGAAGGAAAAAGGACAGTCAGAACACCAGCACCAGAGATGGCTTCCAGGTTACCTGAACAATCGCTGCTTCATTGTCGGCCAGCCCTAGCAAGAAGATCCTCACTTTGTCGATCTTCACCGGAACAGTTCTTCCTCTCCACTCCACCTCACTCATCGTGGCTGCCTGCTTTGCTCGAGTTTGGGTAATCAGCGCCTGCAGGGAACAGTCCAAACTTAGGAGCTCAAACTTCAAGGTATCCAAAACTGAACCTTTCAAATTCACATTAGACTTGACTATTTTAAAATCAAAGGGTTTTTTAGGAAAGTGGGGTTTTCCATAAAGCCCAGGATTGCTTGCTCTCTTCTGGCATGTTTTGGCTCCTGGATGGTGTGCTGCAGCAATATTTATGTGCAACAGAGCGACAACGAATGTTTCAACTTGAAGTACTCAAACAAGTTACCTCCAGTTTTTCTGCAAGAAGACCTTCAGTGCCACCAGACCTCAGTCTCATCTGCATCAACTCATTCATAGCAGACTGGTCACCTGAGAGAATTAACAAACGAAGATCACATTTCCATCTGAGTTATTTTAATATAGAAAAGCTAATCAACAGATTTTATACTAGCAATCTGGGGACAAAGGGGATAAATCTGTAATTTCATTCTGCCTTCATAAACAAACTACTGCAAACTGGTATTTTGTCTTTTTACACAAAATCACATGCACTGTTGCAAAATGAGCGTATTTCTCCGCTGCTAAACTGACCCAGAATGTGTGCAGAATTTGCCCAACATAGTATGGACTCACTCCAGTGTCACTCGGACCACAACTTAACTACCAAGTCAATACCCCTTTCCTGTGAACAAGCCTTGCTCTTTGTTAGAGATTAGGTACCTCGCTTTCTTACCAATGTTATAGGCACAGTAGCGAATGTTGGGCGAGATCTCTTCCACACGCTGGTTATAAAGTACAGCTTGTTCTTCTGTGAAAGCATTGGCCAGTTTTTCATATATGGTCCTACAGCAAAGAATACATATTAACACTACAGGATGTGTCACTTTGAGAGTTGGTATCTTCAGGGAAGAGTTTGTGTCTCTATTCTGGAGGATGCTATTTCTTTGGTAGTACCTCCCAGTTCAGCGCACCATGAACTAAACAACTCACAGAGTTACTGTACACAGGGTATATAAACTTACCAGTCTGACCCAATACTATTTACTAAATGAGGTTGGTGAAGTGGGGAACTCACTTGCATTTGTTGAAAGCCTCCATTGCTGCCTTCCACTCCTGGTGTTCAAAATGAAGCATTCCTGTGAGGTAAGCCATGTATGCCTGCAGACAGCGCAAGAGCACATTAATTTCCCCACGACCAATAGCCTAGTTTGTACAACCTTTAGTATGAAGGCTGTCGCGACACCTACAGTACGTGATCAAGCCTTGTCTTCCCCCAAAGCACAACCGGTTTGGATTACGGGTTACTAGCTACCTACTTTTTATTCTTTTAACTGACATTGCTACATTTCTAAGGAGACAACAGCAAAGATGTTTCTTGCCTGTTATACAATCTACATGGCCCACGGATGTCACAAACCTTTTTCTTCCAGCACCAACCTACAAAATGCCTGTGTTAATTAACCAAGTACCATTGCAGCCACTTACTCAGAGGTGCCACAACACCGTTGTTTTCTGTGTTCCAGGAACCAAAGCAACAAGTCTTGCGTTCTAGGTAGCTACTTTAGGACATTAAAGAAAGAGACTACTCAACAGATAAGCATAGTTTCCTAGGCTGTGTTGCATCATCCTAGTCTCTCTCAATTATTTTTACTTTTATTAAATGTACTACTCTTCAAAGCAAGGACAAATCATTTGATACACTTAACGAACTTCTAAACACCAGGTCCTCATCTTGGCTGGTGCCACTGGCTACTTCTGCAATTCCAGTAGCTGCATTAACAGTAAGTCCAAGCTATTCGAAGGGAGATATTATCCACTTTGAGAATCGGTCAGGTCTGGTTATCTATTGCTAGATAAGAATAAGCTCTTCACCAAAAATCCAAAGGTTTCTTGTTCAGCTTTTGCTGTAAAATGAGATCAAAGTATCAGTGGTTACCTGAGCTTCCAGCTTTGTTTTGGCATCCACTCGGTTACTTTCACACAGCCGCTCCAGCTCTTCAGCATGTTTCACAGCTTTGCGCAGGCGAGACAGCAAGTGAAATCGTTTGCGAGGCTCTGTGTTTGCTTCCTGTTTAAGCTGCATGGCGTAACTCCAGGCTCTCTCTGCATCCATCAGAATCAACAGCAAATACCTGTGGGGCAGAGGAAGATTAATGAAAAAATTATGACATTCAAACAAGTATCACCACGTCACCACTAGTTCTTTGCCACGCGTCTGTATAGTTTGGTAACAAAAGTTCAGCTTGGTGAGTAAGAGGTAGATGCTTTTATTTCTTAGTATTCTAAGCACACAAAGTCATATTACCCCTAACTGTTTTCTACTGTATTTCTCACTACAGAATTGTAATCACCCAACTGAGGAAGAGAATTTGGTATCGTTCTGTAGTACCACAGACGCTGCAAAGACGCTTTTAGGTCGCTCTTCAAACTGGTTCAATACGGGTAAACCTGTCTATTTTCCCAACAATTAATGCTATCATGCATCTGGCTTTTTAACAATACAGGTGAAGACAGCATCATGTTTTCTTTCCCCACAAGAAAAGATGAGACAGCAGACACTTCAAGTGTTTCTAAACCTGGGAAATGAGCCCAAGACCCGGGCTATTCTCCACACAGTCTATCAAACCAGCGTTCTGCCAAATTTTGAAAACCTAAGTAAAACTTGCAATCTAATATTTCTGTTCAAACGGAAGGGATCATGCCTCCAACCACAACCTTCCTGGCTACACCACCTATTTTATTACCATTCACATGGCAACCTTGTGACAGGTCTGAATAAGTGTTTCCTCTTTAATATCAAAGTAATTTACTGATTATGAAAAGAACCCATTTTAGCAACTATTGGGGAAGAGAAGGAACTAGCTGTTGCTGCTCCCTCTTCTCCCGCTTCTTCACATGATGAAGCAGCATCTGAGCAGCGCCTCTTCCACCTGCACTGCAGCCTGAACTTTCATTTTTTGCTAATACCAACAACACACAACACATCACTGAAAAGAAACATTTCTGAGTATATAATAGAGAACAGTTTTCCACCACGGCCACATCAAAATAGATTACTGAAATGAAAGAAACTATTCACAAATATACTGCATGCTCGATTCCATCCGTTGACTGTACCTGTTGTCTGAGAGAATCTCTTCAGTCACTTTCTTCCCAGTGAACTTGTGCCTGTTTCCCATCTTGAAGTTGAGAGTTTTTCGGAGCCGCCTTAGCCTGCGGGAGCAATAACCCCTAAAGAAAAGATGACCACAGTCAGTTCGGCCAAAGAACAACTTTGCTTCTGTTTACTGCTCTCTCCAAGCAGAAAAAAAGGACTGAAGGCTGTGACAGGCAATGTTTTAACAACTCAGAACTCTGTATGTGACATACAGTATGAGGCAGTTCAGAAACTACCTTTAAACCAGTGGTCAACAGAATACAAGAAAGGTGAGAAGACACATAATAATTCTTGATCTTGAAAAAACAGAATGAAGTTCTCCTTATTGTTTAATTGCTTTATGTACGTTTACTGAGCACTCAGTTCTGGAAGAGTACAGTGATTATCAGTGAGGTGTTAACAAACAAGCTCTTAAAGGGCAAGAGAGACACAAGAGCCGGTCTGTATCCTCCTAAATGGAACAGTCACAACACATTACATCTAATCAGGAAAAAAAAAATTGTGCATTGCTTCACATGAAGCAGCCTGTCAAGGGGTATTTACCTGGCTTATTTGTTCTGTTTCTCCCGTTACCAGTAAGACACTGAAGGCAATGCTACAATTGCACTGAGCATCTCCATTTTTACACTAGACACACATCTGTGTTTGCTTCTAATCAAACCCTGAAGAGCACAGCTGTTGTTTTAGGGTTCAACTTAGTGAAGACCAGGAGGCAGGTGCCAAAGATCCCAGGAACCACAACACATTTAGCTGAAGCTTGGACTGCCCATCGCAGCTGACACAGCAACTGCAGAACTGCTTTCAAAAGGCCAAGTTTTAGCTCTCTGGGAACGTAAATACTGCTGCCGCGCGCTGAGCTCTCACCAGTGCTAGTTGTGATCCAGTATCACAAAACTCCTGTTTAGTCAGAGCTTCCAAGGAAGATAAAGCAAGATGAAAATGAATTCGGATCACTGCTCTGCCACAGCTTTATGGAACAAAGGAGGCAACTAAACCGAAAAGCTCCAACTGTTAGCCTGGCAGAATGGCAATTAAATGAGGGAACATGGAACTCTAAGCTGCACTTCCACCTGCCGGCCACACTAATGCACAACCTAGAAAAAAAATAAACTCCACAACATGTAATTCATAACATTATGACAAGAGTGGTTAACGCCAACGTTTCCTACCCAGCCATATCCTGTTTATCCTGCTCACACTATCTTCTTAACACCATCTCCTGCTCTTGCCCGCTTGCCTTATACCTTTGCGGGGTTTTCACTCACATCACTTAAATTGCTATTTCACATCATTTAGTTGCTATTTATCCTTACCATTCTCCTGGTAATAAATGCTTTTTGATGCTGCGAAAAGGCCATTGGTAGTGGCACCATTTGTTACTAAAGATCCTTTCACTGACTTTTCAAACAGCAAGGGTGTTGTACGCTGGGAAGCAGAATACACCATCTGGGCACCATTTCCAAGGAAAAAGCTCCATGTGGAAAACTTGCCTGCAATACTGAAGACGTGCATAGTGCGTGCCACCGCAAACATTTCAGAAGTGCTACATTTGAAATTAATTTACATTCTGGCATTTAGTAATCCTCTTCTGCTTTTGAGGATTTGCATAAGTCAAGAAGTGAATGCTATAAATCTCCTAGCACCTGCTTCGCCTGGCAAATTGCTTTTTGCTGCTGAAAAAGGTGATCGATACATATCTTTTTTCTTTTGGTTGCTCTCAATTTGGGAGCATTTGACCAAGATACTTAAAGAAACAAGAACAGCAATTCAAAACTAATTACTGTTAAAATTGTAACCTTCACTTCCAAGTGAATTCCACAAATCATAATGGTTATCACCCTGCTACTGAAAAGCAGCACTTCTGGGCAGAACAGAGTGTTCAGAAGAGCAGTAACAATCAGAACAGACCTCCCAAACTACCACTTAGATTGTGGAAGCTAACTGCCCCAACTGACACTTCAACTCTGGGTTACAGCCAATATTCCCACTCCTACTTTTAGCCTTCCAACCCCAAATTTGAGAAGAAAAAATTATTTAAAAGCTTTTAGTCCAGGTATCATGTATTATGTTGCACACTGAAGGAAAAAGGACAGTCAGAACACCAGCACCAGAGATGGCTTCCAGGTTACCTGAACAATCGCTGCTTCATTGTCGGCCAGCCCTAGCAAGAAGATCCTCACTTTGTCGATCTTCACCGGAACAGTTCTTCCTCTCCACTCCACCTCACTCATCGTGGCTGCCTGCTTTGCTCGAGTTTGGGTAATCAGCGCCTGCAGGGAACAGTCCAAACTTAGGAGCTCAAACTTCAAGGTATCCAAAACTGAACCTTTCAAATTCACATTAGACTTGACTATTTTAAAATCAAAGGGTTTTTTAGGAAAGTGGGGTTTTCCATAAAGCCCAGGATTGCTTGCTCTCTTCTGGCATGTTTTGGCTCTTGGATGGTGTGCTGCAGCAATATTTATGTGCAACAGAGCGACAACGAATGTTTCAACTTGAAGTACTCAAACAAGTTACCTCCAGTTTTTCTGCAAGAAGACCTTCAGTGCCACCAGACCTCAGTCTCATCTGCATCAACTCATTCATAGCAGACTGGTCACCTGAGAGAATTAACAAACGAAGATCACATTTCCATCTGAGTTATTTTAATATAGAAAAGCTAATCAACAGATTTTATACTAGCAATCTGGGGACAAAGGGGATAAATCTGTAATTTCATTCTGCCTTCATAAACAAACTACTGCAAACTGGTATTTTGTCTTTTTACACAAAATCACATGCACTGTTGCAAAATGAGCGTATTTCTCTGCTGCTAAACTGACCCAGAATGTGTGCAGAATTTGCCCAACATAGTATGGACTCACTCCAGTGTCACTCGGACCACAACTTAACTACCAAGTCAATACCCCTTTCCTGTGAACAAGCCTTGCTCTTTGTTAGAGATTAGGTACCTCACTTTCTTACCAATGTTATAGGCACAGTAGCGAATGTTGGGCGAGATCTCTTCCACACGCTGGTTATAAAGTACAGCTTGTTCTTCTGTGAAAGCATTGGCCAGTTTTTCATATATGGTCCTACAGCAAAGAATACGTATTAACACTACAGGATGTGTCATTTTGAGAGTTGCTATCTTCAGGGAAGAGTTTGTGTCTCTATTCTGGAGGATGCTATTTCTTTGGTAGTACCTCCCAGTTCAGCGCACCATGAACTAAACAACTCACAGAGTTACTGTACACAGGGTATATAAACTTACCAGTCTGACCCAATACTATTTACTAAATGAGGTTGGTGAAGTGGGGAACTCACTTGCATTTGTTGAAAGCCTCCATTGCTGCCTTCCACTCCTGGTGTTCAAAATGAAGCATTCCTGTGAGGTAAGCCATGTATGCCTGCAGACAGCACAAGAGCACATTAATTTCCCCACGACCAATAGCCTAGTTTGTACAACCTTTAGTATGAAGGCTGTCGCGACACCTACAGTACGTGATCAAGCCTTGTCTTCCCCCAAAGCACAACCGGTTTGGATTACAGGTTACTAGCTACCTACTTTTTATTCTTTTAACTGACATTGCTACATTTCTAAGGAGACAACAGCAAAGATGTTTCTTGCCTGTTATACAATCTACATGGCCCACGGATGTCACAAACCTTTTTCTTCCAGCACCAACCTACAAAATGCCTGTGTTAATTAACCAAGTACCATTGCAGCCACTTACTCAGAGGTGCCACAACACCGTTGTTTTCTGTGTTCCAGGAACCAAAGCAACAAGTCTTGTGTTCTAGGTAGCTACTTTAGGACATTAAAGAAAGAGACTACTCAACAGATAAGCATAGTTTCCTAGGCTGTGTTGCATCATCCTAGTCTCTCTCAATTATTTTTACTTTTATTAAATGTACTACTCTTCAAAGCAAGGACAAATCATTTGATACACTTAATGAACTTCTAAACACCAGGTCCTCGTCTTGGCTGGTGCCACTGGCTACTTCTGCAATTCCAGTAGCTGCATTAACAGTAAGTCCAAGCTATTCGAAGGGAGATATTATCCACTTTGAGAATCGGTCAGGTCTGGTTATCTATTGCTAGATAAGAATAAGCTCTTCACCAAAAATCCAAAGGTTTCTTGTTCAGCTTTTGCTGTAAAATGAGATCAAAGTATCAGTGGTTACCTGAGCTTCCAGCTTTGTTTTGGCATCCACTCGGTTACTTTCACACAGCCGCTCCAGCTCTTCAGCATGTTTCACAGCTTTGCGCAGGCGAGAAAGCAAGTGAAATCGTTTGCGAGGCTCTGTGTTTGCTTCCTGTTTAAGCTGCATGGCGTAACTCCAGGCTCTCTCTGCATCCATCAGAATCAACAGCAAATACCTGTGGGGCAGAGGAAGATTAATGAAAAAATTATGACATTCAAACAAGTATCACCACGTCACCACTAGTTCTTTGCCACGCGATCTGTATAGTTTGGTAACAAAAGTTCAGCTTGGTGAGTAAGAGGTAGATGCTTTTATTTCTTAGTATTCTAAGCACACAAAGTCATATTACCCCTAACTGTTTTCTACTGTATTTCTCACTACAGAATTGTAATCACCCAACTGAGGAAGAGAATTTGGTATCGTTCTGTAGTACCACAGACGCTGCAAAGACGCTTTTAGGTCGCTCTTCAAACTGGTTCAATACGGGTAAACCTGTCTATTTTCCCAACAACTAATGCTATCATGCATCTGGCTTTTTAACAATACAGGTGAAGACAGCATCATGTTTTCTTTCCCCACAAGAAAAGATGAGACAGCAGACACTTCAAGTGTTTCTAAACCTGGGAAATGAGCCCAAGACCCGGGCTATTCTCCACACAGTCTATCAAACCAGCGTTCTGCCAAATTTTGAAAACCTAAGTAAAACTTGCAATCTAATATTTCTGTTCAAACGGAAGGGATCATGCCTCCAACCACAACCTTCCTGGCTACACCACCTATTTTATTACCATTCACATGGCAACCTTGTGACAGGTCTGAATAAGTGTTTCCTCTTTAATATCAAAGTAATTTACTG